TGCTTTTTCTTTAAGCTCACGTGCAGTGGTGAAGGATGACCCTCAGTGGTCACAGATGTACTTTTTGACCCCGCTGTGGAAGAGTTCATGCATTTTTAATGTACTTGGTGTGTGGAAGCCTCTCCCACATTCTTTGCAGTAGTTCATTTTGTCTCCAGTGTGTCTACGTTGACATGGCTTAAAGTCCCGTTGATGATTGAAGGTTTTCCACAAAGGCCACAGAGAAACGCTTTCCCACCACCACAGTGACGACAGGGCTGAGAACTGGATCCATCTTTATCACTCTGCTTCTATGCAAAGACAGTATAAGTCAACTCTGCCAATATCCAATTGCATTTCACTGTTTACATTATAACACTCAGCTTACTGGGTGAAAATGCCTCCTCATTTTTCCAAACAGTTCATTCAGTATAATTCCATAAGTTTACTGATCAGACTTGTTCCAAAAACTCGGGTTACAATTACAAGATAAAAATAAATACATCCTCACAGTAACTGCACTTGTAGAGTTAATTTCTGGTGTGGATCTGTTGGTGTTTTTTCAGGTGATGTGGAGCTTTAAAAGTCTTCTGACACAGGTCACATTTATAAGGTCTCTCCTCAGTGTGGCTAAACATGTGTTGTTGTAACTGTGCATCTGTTGTAAATGGTTTCCCACACTGATCACAGCAGTAAACATCATTTCCAGTGTGAATCCGTAGGTGAATATTTCGGTACTTTTTTTCACTGAACCTTTTTCCACAAAAGTCGCAGCTGTAGGCCTTAATTCCAGAGTGGGTAACTAGATGCCTCTGTAAGTCGCTATTTTGAGCAAAAGCCTTACCACACAACTCACAGCTGTGTGCTTTAACTCCACTGTGGATGATATGGTGTGATTTTAGGCCTTGACGATGGGTAAAAGACTTTCCACACAAGTTGCAGCTGAATGCTTTAACTCCACTGTGGATGAGTTGGTGTGTTTTTAAGCTATCAGCCAGGGCAAAAGACTTTCCACACAAGTCACACCTGTGAGGTTTAACTCCACTGTGGATGAGTTGGTGTGTTTTTAAGTTTTGGGCTTGATTAAAAGACTTTCCACACAAGTGACAGTAGTGTGCTTTAACTCCACTGTGGATGAGTTGGTGTGTTTTTAAGTTTTGAGCCAGAGTAAAAGACTTTCCACACAAGTCACAAATGTACGGTCTAACTCCACTGTGGATGAGTCTGTGTGTTTTTAAGCATCCAGCCCGGGTAAAAGACTTTCCACACAAGTCACAGCTGTAAGGTTTAACTCCACTGTGGATGAGTTGGTGTATTTTTAAACCTCCAGCCTGAGTAAAAGACTTTCCACACAACTCACAGCTGTAAGGTTTAACTTCACTGTGGATGATTTTGTGTTTTTTTAGACCTCCAGCCAGAGTAAAAGATTTTCCACACAAGTCACAGCTATACGCTTTAACTCCACTGTGGATGAGTCTGTGTGTTTTTAAGTTTTGAGCCAGGGTAAAAGACTTTCCACACAAGTCACAGCTGTACGCTTTAACTCCACTGTGGATGAGTCGGTGTGTCTTTAAGCTTTGAGCCAGGGTAAAAGACTTGCCACACAAGTCACAGCTGTACGCTTTAACTCCACTATGGAAGAGTTGGTGTCTTTTTAATTCTCCAGCCCGGGTAAAATCCTTCCCACACTGATCACAGCTGTATGTTTTCTCTCCCTTTTTTCTGTGAGGTTTGTCGGCCTCCTGAGAGTGCTGACTTTTCGCCTCATGTTGGTCCTGCAGTGACAGAGATACAAACAGAGGCAGTGAGTGAAATGCAGTCATGGAACAAACTGAAACGTTAGTGGAATTTAATGTGACAACAAACACATTGTTGGTGTGTTTCCACCACCTTCTGGTTATAGTATCACATTACAATGATGTGCTACAATGGGAGTTGTAATTAAAATGACATTATTGAAGAAATATTGATCAGAAGAGAAACTCTTTTACTTCATAAAAAAATGTGAGTTTAAATGATGATATTGTTGTTTCAATGTGTGTAGATAAAATATCATGTTTGTATTTTCTTTTAACTGCTGTGGTGTTTGATTTTGAATGTAGATTCTATATATATGGAGGAGCCCAGGATGGAAAAGATAATGCTGCTGTTAATGTGTTTTTAAAAACCAACCAACTGTGCACACAGTTTCAATAACAGTGTAACTATGATGTTTTTCTCACTTTTTGTGTTGAAGTCATTGTTTCCTCTGTAGTGGCTGAGCTGAGTCCAAATGGCTGAAATTGTTCCTCTGTTGCTCCACCAGCCTCTTCTGCTCCTGTTACTCAGCTGGGACACAAAGTATATACACACATCCCTGACAAAAAGAAACAGAGCAAATAAACATTACTATGCTCCTCAGTGACAACAATACCTATTAAGCTTCAAGGTGAAACCTCAGATAGAAAGTAATCAGTTGCCTACAACAATCTAAAAGGGAAAAAGCCACTGACTGCCCTACATATCACTGCCTAAGAGTCCCGGAAATGGCTTATGTATAAAGAAGGTTAATAGTTGGTTCTAGCAGTTAAAATGTTCTTGCTTGTACATTTCTTTGGACAATATTATATAGGTGCATTCTATCTTATGTAGGAGACTTGTTTATCGTGACACAAAGAACATGTTTTTGTTGCACTGCTATTATCGCAAGGTTTGGGCGTGATCATATAGGCTGTGAGGCCCACGTTTAATAATCACGCTTAGTTCAGTGAGCTATCCTACAGAAGCCTGGTTTGCCTCTACTAACTG